TGGAGGATGCCAGAGGTGAAAGTAAAGAATTGGAAAAACTAGCAAAATACAGAGACCTGGCAGTCGAAACATCTCGCTTGCGGATGAAACACGCCTCAGTGGTTCCTGTAGTCATTGGGGTTTAGGAACAATATCAAGAAATTTCACACAGTACTATAAGCAGTTGCAAGTCTCAGAAATCACACCATCAGAGCTACAAAAAATGGCAATATTACAAACAGCATTCATACTGTGCCAATATTTAACAGATACTTGTGTTTTTGATTCAAACTTGTATCTGTTATATAATACCAGTCAGTTTTTCATAGTTTTGATTAACTGTGCCTGGTGTTTTTAATAATAATAATAGTAATGATGATGATGATGATGTACTATCACCACCACCAACATCATCATCATCATAATAGAAAAATGTTGATGGTATCAGGGCCATATACCTGCACTAGAGGTTAAGCCGTTTGAAATGCATTCAGGACACACAAATTGCATGGTCATTTTGCACAGAGTACTCTCTGATCAACTAGCCAATTCTGTTACCAGACACTTTCTTCATGGTCTTGGTCAGTCTCAAGGCTTCATCCAAAATGGGATGTAAATATACTGACTGATGGAGCTCTGTGCATGCATGCGCATTCGTACTTCAGACAGAACATTGCCCATAAGCCATAGTGCAACATAAGCCATGATTCAAAAATCAGTACAACTAGTTTTACACATCCAAAGGGGTCTTTGCATTTGTTTTTTAAATAACTGCCAACCCTTATGGCCACAGCTTTTGAACCTTATTATTGAGGTGTCACATTCAAAGTTTATTTAATTTTTAAAAATCCTATTGGCACATGTATTTCATTGTGTGCACCTAAAAGTAGCTTTTTGGATGCAAGTCATTGAATTTATTCTTACATGAAGTGGTGGTAGTGTTTTGTTTTTTTAAACACTTCAGCAGTATTGCCAAGAAGAGGGTAGCATTAAGTTTATTTGAACAGACAGATTGTGATCACTTGTAGCTTAAGCTGAGTTTCTGATGCCCATAATGAATTTCTTGATATGCAGACAATAAGTTCTTTCCTCTCCCTTATCCTGTTTTGCTAAGAATGAAGGAAAATACACACCATCTTCTTCCTATTGCTGAAGTAATGTTTGTCACTTTTCATTCATTTTTGCTTCATTTGTTTAATACAGACTTTGTTGCTCTTTGTACTGTAACTGTATTTGTGTAAGACATTTCTCACATACTCATCACAACATAAATTATTTAGTGCTTTTACTGTAATTCCTTGATAGTCTCTGGCCAGGTACTTAAAGTGTATATATTCTTTTCCCTCCGGTTATAGATATAGCAGAAAACAGTACCTTGTGGAATTGCATTGTATTCTCATTTCACCTCTCAAAGCTGTGAATGATTCTAACCCACACATTTCTTTGTTTTAGTCAAAACCGTTATTCATTAAAAATTAACCAGAGGTGATGCTTTGCTTTTAGGCAGTGTATGCTTCCTATTCTAGATTTTTTTTTCTTCCCTCCCCCTTCTTTTTAAATCTCTTTGGTAATTTAGAAAAAACAACTCACCAATACTGATACCATATTAATTTGAATGTTATATATTTATGTAAAGTTCAGAGTCCTGGTTTAAAATTGGAATGACATGATCATATACTCTTCATGCATTTTTGAGGTAATATACCAATGACATTTGATAATGTTGCCCCTAATTCATGCTAAGAAAAGTTAGAGGTAAACACCACTAATGCCATTGTCAAGTTCAATTAGTTTATTAAGCTCCATCACACCTCAAACCTCTATGCAGCCTTACACAAGTATTCCAGCATTTCCAAAGGGTTTTAGTTGATTTGATTCAAACTACAGTATTCTCACACTACCTAGCCAGCCATTTTTGGAACTTAAAAAATCAGTTTGGCATGTGGAATATGTTGTTTTAAAAGGCAAGTGTTTGAAGAAAGAAGATCAAATCTCAGTGAGCATGCCAAGCCTTTGTATGTAGCCCACTTAGGTTGGCTTGGGGTTGTTTTGGGAGTTTTTTTGGGGCTGGGTGGGAACCCTGACAAGGTAACATGAAATCAATTTCCCAATACTACATAAATTAAAACAGGGAAACAAAAGTTTGTCTTATTGTTATATAGATAATATATTGATCTAGTTATATCCCCTAATTTAGCTTAGATAGATCCTGGGTTACAGTTGAAAGGAGTTTTCTGGGGGTTGTATTCCTGTTCCATTTTGTCTGTTCTTTGTTTTTTCTAGTGAAGAGAAAAGATACTTTGCTTTAGAAGTGTGCCTTGATACGCTTTCTACTTTAAACTTAAGAACAAATATTTTAATTCTCTGCAGCAACAGGAGATTTGGTATTCTTCAGAATGTAAATAAGCTCCGCCATGGTTGTCATCTTACCCTGATAGTATCAGTAGACAAGTAATGACAGATTAAGACCTGGCTTGCAGAGGGGAAACTAAATTACAAGACTTTTATTAAGGCATAAATAAACCTATTAACTGTTATCTAGAATACCAATTAGTAGAAGGAGCACTGACAATTTTATTTATCAACATTAAACACAATTATTAATTACAGACCTGACGAATCTAGCAGTAAGCAGAACATGTTGGGTATGCTGGGGCCTTAAGCCCATTATATGAGAAGGATGATTACCAAAAACCTTTGGGGAAATAAGTAATTGTAGTTGTAAAATTTTAATTGCCTTGGAAATAAGGTAAATTATATTCTCTTGTCTCTGAATATAAATAGTATGGCATTAAGGTACCAAGCCTCAGTAGTTTTAAGTAGCAAATGATTTAGACATCTAAGCTGTCAGGAAAGAAAGGGAAACAGTTATAAATTTGCGACAGTGACTTACCTTCTGCTTTTGAATGAATAGCATTTCACCAGTATTTACAAGCTATTTTTAGTCAGCTTACACAACATGTCTGGTGTGTCATATATTACAACCTGTGGATTAATGAAGGAAAAATTGTGTGGTATTAACAGAGAACATAAAACCACTTCTCATTAGCAAAACCATGATTTCTCCTGAGCCAATGTTTGCCGTTGCATGTATGTGTGTTAATTTCAATGGCGGTTAAACAGAATTTAATGTGTGTGTATATCAAGATGGAATTGGAGGATATTCTCTTCCTGGCAGCAGATGTGTTCAGTCACAGATTGATATTTGCCAAGGAAAAGTGGCCTAGATAGTGAAGATCCACTGTCACAGTTACTCACCTAACACATTTAGCAGATCACACCAAAAAAGTACAGTACACCATTTTTCAACAACAGTTTGGTGGATAATATTCTGTTATTATTATTTCTAGACTATTAGATAAAAACAATATAAAAACAAGAGACAAAAACATTGTCACACCTTAAAGACCCACTGCTGTATTTTAATGTGAGCTTTTGTGAATCATGTCCACTTCCTCGGACAACCTTTCATGGATCAAATGGACTTGATCCATGAAAGCTCACATTAAAATATAGCAGTTAGTCCTTAAGGTACCACAAAGTTTTTATTTCTTGTCTTTTTTTTATTTTATATTTTGTCTAATATGCTTGTACTAGCATGACTAAAGCACCTAGGCTGTGGACTGATCTAATACATATAGTATGTGGTGTTTATGCAATGTTATCTCTGGAACAGTTTTTCGAGGATGGATCTGTTCTGGAAAACTGACATGCTTGTTTCCTCAAAAGTGAATGTACGTGAGCTCAATAGAATTTAGTCATGGCTGAAATGCTGTTGCTTAGTGTAGACAGTCATACTTGAGCAGGCCCCCTGAATCAGTGAGGATTTGGTGAGTCAACTCCTTCATAAGCTCCACAGCTACTTGTGACTTAGTAGACCAGTAGACGAGTAGACCAGATAGGCGGGGTATAAATCAAACAAATAAATAAATAAATTAGTATAGTAAGTCTGCAGGATAGCTCAATGATTTAGGTGTGTCAGTGGAGCCACATGTTGGAAGTTCGTTCCTCACTGTGCCTCCATGAAAGGGGCTGTACTCGATGATCCATAGGGTTCCTTCCAGCTGTGCAGTTCTAAGAGTATCAAGAGTATTATATATTGTATATACTCAAGTATAAGCCGACCCAAATATAAGGTGAGGCACCCAATTTTACCACAGAAACTGGGGAAACTTATTGACTTGAGTATAAGCCGAGGGTGGAAAATGCAGCCTCTACTGGTAAATTTCAAAAATAAAAATAGATACCAATAAAATTACATTCATTGAGCCATCAGTAGGTTAAATGTTTTTGAAGATACTGCCCTTTGAAGATACTGCCTGCAGAGGGAGGACCATAGCGGATGCTGCGCTTATCTACTGCTGTGCTTATCTACTGCTCTATTGCTGCGTAACAAGATGGAGAGAGACGGAGGATGGAGGAGGAAGGTGGGAGGAGGAAGGCGTGTATATAGAATATGCAAAAGGAGGAGGGTGGGAGTGTCCTGGAAGCAGAAATGCAGTATACTTAACCCGGGTCATCAGACCACACACAGAGGCTGCAGACTCCCATAGATGGGCGGGGCAGTCTGGAGAACACCTGCACTGAAAGGGAAAACATGTAACTTTGACACTGACTCGAGTATACGCCATGGGGGTGCTTTTTCAGCAAAAGAAGTGCTGAAAAACTAGGCTTATACTGGAGTATATACAGTAAGTTCTGCTAAGAGTATTATGTAAGTCACAAGTGGAATGGGCCTATTTAAATCAGTGGAATTTACAGACTAATTCACTCACCAAATCCACACTGATCCAATGCACCTACTCTAGTGTGACTTACTGTGCTAAGCAACAGGATTTCAGCCAGGCTTTAGTAAAATTATTTCTGTATTTTAGTAGGACCCTATTGTGCACAGCAAAATGGCTGGAAAATTATCTTTCATAACTTCCTATATCAAATATTTTAACGTATTTGTTTGCAGAAAAAGAAACCCAGACATAAATCTATTCAGTTCATTGCTTTTACGCCTGTTTCTTTTGAAGATCTGAATTCCTGGCTTTCGGGACATTTACTTACCAGCGCAGCAAGAAGTTCTTTCTCAAAATTCATGGAGAGACTTTGTATCGTGATGGAAGTTGCTACAGCAGACTGCAGCAGAAATATTACTTATTCAGAGAAAGACTCTTTGGTTCAGAGACTGGCTCGTGGGCTTCATAAACTAAATGCAGAGGCTCTTAAAGGAGACATAAATGACAGAGCCCCTGTTACGGTTTGTATGAATGCAATTAACATACAGCAGCTTTGTGCACATAGAATTTGCTTTCAGATGGTTTCAGATTTCTCAGTAGTAAACTTTTTCTCAGTTTTTGTAGTACTCATCAGATTTTCTAGCCTTTAAAGTAAAACTGGGGAATTTAAAGGAAATAGCAACACCTAAATTGGTGAATGTTTCCAGCAGTTTGAGGGTTTGTTTCTGAATTAACCTTCTTAGCCTTATTTTTAATCTTTTAGTCTTCATGGTAGTGTACAGTCTTCTTTTAAAATACGACTTAGTTTTAGAATTGCTCTACTTAACTGCATACTGATGTCAGGTGCTGTTACAAAATATACCTTCTGTATCTATCAAAAATACGATAATTGTTTCCTCAATACGGATCCTTTCCTAGTTTTGATTTTCAAATGATAGCCTCAATGTATATATTGTTTGAGTATCGTATTTGAGAAGAACGTTTTTTTGGTATGTGAGTTCAGAAAGGAAGCTTTGTTTTAATTTGCCCATGCATTAAATGCTACTGATTTATTGCCTAAACAGTACATTTTAGAGTTAACAACATTGTTTCCATTTTTACTACCAGAAAAGCATAGCATCCTTGCAGAGGCAAATATTTGAATTTACACAAAGGCTGCATGCAGCAGAAGTGGAACGGAGGTCACTACGTTTAGAGCTTACGGAATTCAAAGGGAATTTGAATGAGTTGAAGAAAGAGGCTGATAAAGCCCAGAACCTACAAGAGCAATTAAATGCATTTAAGCAATCTGTAAGTATATTTGATTTGGGGTGAGGGTGGGGATAACCTGGTCTAAAGGATCAATTTCCTTTTACTTCTTTTTGATTCAGCAGACCTTAAAAAAACTAATAAATACACCAGCCTATATTAAGATAACCTTTCCCTGAACCGCTTTGTTTCATCAGTCAGTCCCAACTTTGAGTTAGCCTGTTTTTTTTTAAAAAAAGGACAGAAACACATGATGACACTTTGCTTATGATTAGTTCTTTATGTTGCAGAATAAGGTAGGTTGAGTAAATATTCTTATTTGAACTTGAACAAAGCTGATCTCCAGACATACCCACACATTATGTGCTACTTTGGGATATCTTAAATAATTCTGTTGGTCCGGCTATAGAGCTCAAGTTCAAACACTCACATTGTATGCTAACATTACTAAGACAGTGTTTTATGGCCTGATATTTTGTTTTTATTTCCAGCTGTGTTCTTTTGAATGTTGAATAGCTTTTAGAACAAAAGAAGGGCTGCTTCATTGACACTGCAAAATAGCTATGTACACAGTGCTTCCATGTTAGATACACCATGCATCTCAAGTGTAGATCACCATGCAGTAAAGGAGCACAAAGGCATCCTGCCAGTAGATGGAGTTGGGAAATGATTGTGTTCTAGCATCCCCTCTAAGCTAAGATCCCATTTGGTTCCAGCTCAAACATAGTTCTACTTCCTGAGTTAGCTCTTTTAATTAGCTAAATAGATGTCTAGCTTTATGTATTTTGAATTTTTAGCTTATATTTTCATATTTGAAGTTGGCAAGATGAGTGAATAAGTGCTGTGTTTCAGTACCTTTGCTTGTGACTTGTCTAAAACATTTTACATATTCCAAAAATAGTGCTCGAGTAAAGTGTGTGTGTGTGTGCTTTAGTCCTCTGTTTAAGCAACTGATTAGATTAGCTCCTTGTGTAATTCTGCTCAGATTAACTCTTTTTGTAAAATAAAGAATAAAAAAATTAATTTAGTTGTATGATCTCTTTAATCAGGAGTAGCTTGAAAGTGAAGCTTCTTTATATGTGTACTTATTTTTGTTTTGTTATTTTTGTTGTTATTGGGTTGGGGCAGAATTTTGTGAATAAAAATCACCCGGCATTAGTTCTGTGTAATGGTCCTGACTTGGAGAAGAAAGCCTCTAGGGCAAATGTATTGAGTGTTTTAAAACTTTTGCATTAGAATGTTGCATACTGGCAAGTGGGATACTGAAAGTCAAGTGTATAAACAATGCTGCTATTTAATGACAGAACACAATTTATTTCCTTTATCAGAAATTGATTACCCACGAGAGGTTTGAAAGTGCATGTGAAGAGCTAAATAATGCATTACTTCGGGAGCAGCAGGCACAAATGCTGTTGAATGAACAAGCACTGCAGCTCCAAGAATTGCAGTATAAACTTGAATTGCATTCCTGTGAAGAAGCAGACAAAAACCAAACCCTCAGTGAAGCTGTAAAAGTAAGATGGTCTTTCTTTTAAAAACAAAGATGCTGTTCTTACCACGGTGTAAGACTTCAGTGGTTTGTGGTTTTTGGAAGAAGACATTGTATAGAGCCCATTAAGGTCATAAATATGTACAGGGCCGTGGGAAACATCTTGAAGTAACTTTGGTACAGAAGATACTTTAGTATAGAAAGGTCTGGATCAAAATGGGTGCCAGTATCTTTTCTCTCTTAGTATTAACCCTCATGACAAGCAGAGAAACACACTTCCATAATGTGAATTGTAGAGTGTTTTCTCACCCCATTGAGAATTCTCACATATTGCAGGATATTAAAATGTCTCTTGCCTTATAATATTTATGTTGTCAGAAATCAAGTGTGTTCCCAGAGTCAGAAAACACAAAGTGTAATAAACAAAACAAAACAAAATAAAACTAGCACTTGTCATATTTGCAGGATCCAACAAATTTGAATGAACACCTCATTAGAAAAATGTCAGTGTCCCCTGTCCCCAGATGGGGCCTACCTACTGCCAACAGAAGTATGACACTTCAGTTTCACCGTTTCATGGTTTTGCTGGCATTTTTGGTTTGCTGATGGGGCTTGCAATATTTTTTTCTCCCAGCTGATTTTTTTAATATTGAGAAAAAACAGTAAATGATGAATGTCTGAAACTTTGAAGACATTGTTTAGTACTCTGGAAGCGACAATGTCCCACAGTGACCTATATTGGAGGTCTGGTTTTTTGTACCTTTAACAAGCTTCTTTAAAATTTGGGGTTTAAAATATCCTGTTGTAGTGTCTGGGGTAGCTGAAGAAAATTGATGCTGTTGCTGTCTGTTCTTAGGATAGCAAGGTGGAGGGAGTCCTGTCTATAAGACTTCCAAGCCACCATTCATGTGTTATAAAAAATCACAGCAGAAATAAAAAAATCACTAACCAGATGACCAAACTGATGGAAAAGTGGAATATAAATTTACAGAATAAATAAATAGCATTTAAATGTTCATCCATTGGGGGGAAATTATTGAAAATATGCGAGACAGCACTTAGATTGAAAGTAAGGAAGGCATTTACATTCCCCAGATTAAAAGTATGCATAAATGTATACAAGATCTGTGAAAGTTATATATTCATTAAATAATAGGTTCAAAATGCTATAGACTGCACATTTTGCTGACACTTCAACTAAATTTTGCAAAGGCATGTTAAAAGCTTTGCAGTGATTTTAAAGAACCCTCAAAATTAATTCACAATCAAAAGGAAATGCTAATAAAGGCATCAAAGAAAACAGTTGGCAGCTATACATTGTACACTTTGGTTTGGAAGTCATGCAACATCTATTAGTAATTAGGCAATATTGCTACATTCTGCTACTTTCATAAAATAGGTTTAAAACACAGTTGATTAATTTTGGAGCTTTATCAGTTTTGATTATAATCCCATATACTTTTTATCTACCCAGTGGCATATACCTTGGAGACATGCATGCTTGCCAATTATGTTTCAAGGTCAGTCAGAACTAAGTACTCTTCTTAAACCATTTCTTTTATTAGGTGCAGAAAGATAGTAGCCCAACTGTCTCATTCTGCAAAGAAAAGAGTCTGTGCTTGTGGGAACAGATATGTATTGTTATGCATAGTGAAATTTTTGTAGTACAGTAATTTCAAATAATAAGAATAATTGTTTATTATCACAAAAACTAATTCTTTCTAGAATTCATGGTCATTTTGCACATAAAAAGTATCTTAAAATTTTTATTTTTATGGACTTTTTGTATGTTTTATTTACTGAAAATGAACATATTTTTATATCTTGTCATTTGTGTGGAGAAAAAAAATCATAAAAATTTTAAGACATACATTATATCTGTGGATCAAACACTAAAATGCAAAAAGAGAAAAACAAACTTCAAGAGGAGAGAAATGTTTAAAGTCAATTACTTTAGGAAAAAAGCATGCTGAAATTGCAGGCATCTCAACCTTCTGCAGAGCAGAGAACAGATATTTTGTCTACGAACTTCTAGAACAGTGATGGCAAACCTTTTTGAGCCTGAGCACCCAAACGGCAACACAAAACCAAATTATTTCTTTCGAAGTGCCAACACTACAATTAAACCTGAATACTGAGGTTTTAGTTGAGGAAAAAAACCTCATACAGTTGTCTGAACTAATTTAACCTGCAAGAAGTCGAGTTCCTGGGTCACATTGTATCTCCCCAAGGGATCCAGATGGACCCAAAGAAGATAGAGACGGTACTGAACTGCCAGAAACCTCGGAACCGTAAGGACGCACAACGGTTTCTCGGCTTCGCAAATTATTACCGTCAGTTCATACCATCTTATGTGGATATAACCACGCCACTGACCTGCCTCCTCCGGCCCAAAGAGCCATTTCTTTGGACTCCGGAGGCAGACCATGTATTTACCACACTAAAAACTCGCTTTACCACTGAGCCCATCCTACGCTATCCGGATCCCCGGCTACCGTTTACCGTAGAAACAGATGCCTCCAGTGTCTCCCTGGGTGCAATACTGTCCCAGCGGGAGGACCCCTCACAACCACTGCAGCCCTGTGCGTTCTACTCCCGGCAGTTCACACCCTCGGAGCGCAATTAGACCATCTGGGAGCAAGAACTTTTGGCCATCAAAGCTGCTTTCAAGGTTTGGAGGCATTACCTCGAAGGGGCCCATCACCCAGTCCAAGTTTTGACGGATCATCAAAACCTGGAACACTTACAAACAGCCTGACGCCTTAACCAACGCCAATTCCGATGGAGTCTCTTTTTCTCCCAGTTCGACTTCCGTATCACCTATGTTCCACATACCCAGAATCGGAAAGCTGATGCCTTGTCCCGCAAACCGGAATACGCCGAACCAACCTCTGAAGAACATCCGATCACACCTATCCTGCCTCCTTCAGTCTTTGCATCCGTGACCACTCACTCCTCTCTGGCTGAAGAGATTCGAGCCAGTCAAGCTCGAGATCCCTGGGCCAAGCAACACCTGCAGGAACTTCAAGATGGCTCTGTCAACGACTTTACCTATCACCAGGGGCTCCTATTACATCATGGATGCTTATATATTCCTCCGGGGGCCCTCCAAACCAATGTCCTCCATCTGACTCATGATTCCCCTCCTGCAGGACATTTTGGTTAGTACAAAACTCTGCACTTGCTCACACGAGAGTTTTGGTGGCCCCAGGTTCGAGCTGATGTCACCCGATAAGTTGGTTCCTGTGAGGTTTGTCGTCGAGCCAAGGATGTACCAGCCAAACCTTCAGGTCTGCTACAACCTTTACCTGTGCCGGCCGGCCCTTGGGACACAGTATCTTTGGATTTTATCACAGATTTCCCGCAGTCACAAAAGTATACCTGTGTCTTAGTAATAGTGGACCTGTTTACTAAGATGGCTCATTTTGTTCCATGTCCCAAACCTCCCACAGCTCCTGACACCGCCCAACTCTACCTCCATCATGTTTTCCGTCTACATGGGCTCCCGAC